CCCAGGAGAAGCCGAACGCACTAGTCACGCGCATCCTGCGACCCTGACATATCTTAGGTTGTTGTCTTGGAACACAAGCCATGTGCTTCCCCTCACATCAGTAAGCCAAGATTCCTCATCAATCTAGTCAGGCCAAGGTCATCTCTTACACGAGGGCAAATTGGCACGCTTGATTCTACAACCTGTTCTTCACACAGTGTGGACCACTCTATTCTCGCTGAGCATTGCAGCACAGCCACAAGCTTATAGATTCCTAATGCTTCCCATGTCTAATATATTTTGTGATGATGTGCCATTTTAAATAGTATACAATTAGGCAATTTGTCTTGACTACTGAGGAATACTATATCCATTTTTTTTGGAAACGGAGGCATACCCCCGGCCTCTGCATCATGATGATGCATGCGGCCCTTTTGTTAAATATCCAGAAAGTATCGTAATGATTGTCTTACAGCTTGCAAACGGAGCAAAACAAAAAACAAAAACTGGAAAAATACAAGCGGACAAAGACAACCGATACGGTAAAAATAAGGATAAGCTCTCTAGACTCCTATCCTGTTATGCGAACGCCATCCGAACCGGTTGAATATAACCCGAGCCACCATCTCCCATTGGTTGCACCCAGTAACCAAAGGCTCCCTGGAGTCCATAGGAGTGAGTAAGGACCATGTACGGATCCAAGCTGTAGCTCTGAAGATAACCTGCAAAAAAGTTAAGTTGTATTGTCTATTAAAAATCATATCATTTCTGCAGTTCCATATAGCCCATAATAGCGCGCATATTCCAATCCGAATACGAGCTGTCGTGATCTGTTCAATCCCAGCTAACCACGTCCCAAACATAGACGCAATATCTACTGGAGCATTAATATTAAAGGCTATATGAATCGTTCTCCAAAGTAACTTGGCAAATGGGCATTCAAGAAATAAATGTTGTATTGTCTCATCCTGAGCACAAAAACAACACCGCGAGTTGCCTACCCATCGCCTCTTAAGTAGGTTGTCCTTTGTGAGAATTACTTGCTTGTGGACAAACCACAAAAAAAATTAATCCGCAAAGGAATTTAACCTTCCATATATGCAATGACCTTGAGAGGGGGCAAGAATTAATCAAATCCGTATAAAAAGATTTCACAGTAAATATCCCATTTTTAGTTAACTTCCATTGTGTTGAGTCCGGCATGTCGGAGAGTCGAACTTCAATCAATCTCCGAACCAAGTGCATCCAGGTTGTCCACCTCTCACCCACTAACGTACATCTGAACTGGATGTTCAAGGGGATAGTTTGAAGGACGATACCTACCTAATCCTCCTTACATTGCACAATATTGTAGAGGGTAGGATATTGTAAGGCCAGAGGCGTCTCTCCTAGCCACGTATCCTTCCAAAATCTTGTTGACATCCCGTTGCCAACCAAGAATTTGACCCTACGAAAGAACGTGTCCTTCGCTCTCATAAGTCCCTTCCAGAACGGCGAATCAGTGGGTCTGATGGTAGCCTGGGCAAGCGTTTTCGTGTGCAAATACTTATTATGCAGGATTTGAGACCACATGCCCTCCGGCTCTGTCTCTAACCTGTATAACCATTTGCTCATAAGGCATTTATTCTTAATTTCCAAGTTCTCAATACCAAGCCCCCCTTGGCCTTTTGGTCGACACAGGATATCCCATCACGCGAGGCGGTATTTCCTCTTGGCCTCATCAGACTGTCAAAAGAAACAAGATCTAAAGAAATCAAGTCTCTTCCGGACCCCTTTCGGATTTTCGAAAAACGAAAGTAAAAACATTGGCATGCTAGTCAGTACTGAGTTAATCAAAACTAGCCGACCGCCATATGACATCAGCTTGCCCTTCCAGCAGCTAAGTTTTTTTTCAATTCGTTCTTCAATACATTTTCATTCTTTATTGGATAGCTTACGGTGATGAATCGGAATACCCAAATAACTGAATGGTAAAGCACCTAAATCACATCCAAACAATTGTCTGTATGTATGTTCCTCGTCTTTGGCCTTCCCAAAGCAGAACATCTCGTTCTTATGAAAATTGATTTTTAAGCCAGACAATTATTCGAATTGACACAAGATAAGTTTCATGTTACGCGCCTTAGCCATGTCATGTTCCATGAATAGAATAGTGTCATCAGCATATTGTAGAATGGACACCCCCTCCATCAACTAGATGAGGAACTAGACCCTCTACATGGCCATGCTGCTTAGCCCTGCCAATAATGACGGCCAACATATCTGCCACAATATTGAACAGAAGAGGTGACATGGAATCCCCTTGTCTCAACCCCTTATGTGCATAGAAGTAGTGACCGATGTCATCATTCACCTTAATTCCGACACTAGCCTTCTGGACTTGAGTATCCACTTGGTTCCTCCAGGTTTCACTAAAAACCTTCATACGCATACGCATTCCGACACTACCCTTCTGGAATACTATATCCATACCGGCTAACTCGGTTAAGATATAAATAGCACATATATATAACTATCTTTGGTCCGCCTCCTGGCCACTACAATAAACCATGCTGGATGGGAGATATTTTGGGCAGCTAGTTGATAACTATAAACCATTGTGGATGAGATCTATATATATGCATGCACACCAGATGACAGCTAGTAAGAAATAAAGACGATAATAACTCATCAACAAGGTGGTTGACATGCTATATTTTTTTACCCTTTCAAATAGTAAGCATTGAGGGATTTTTAGTTGGAGGTATTCGCACACTCCTCTAACTAAGTGAGCTTGCTATACTTGGCTGCATATCAACATAGAAGATTTCTCTGGAGTTGCATGAACTCCGGCTAAGTGATCAGCTTGATATACTTAGCTGGATATTTATATTAATATAGAAGATAAAAGTAGGACTCCAGTAGTGCGCGGCGTCTATTTCACGCGTCTCCGCTGGGCCTTTCCATGTTACCGGCTGATTTCACGTATGCACTATGTTCAAGCACACGCACAACCACAAACGTAACATCCAACGGCAATTATTTTGTCGCAATGTTTATACCCGCTAGAATTGTCTTGAAAGTATACAGGAAACTGATTCCATTTTGCCAAAACATGGTGTCTCAAGGTCTTTCAGAAGTCAATATCTTCACATATACACAATTCAACCCCACCATCAGCCAAATAAACACACTTAAAAAACAGAATTTTTTATATTAAAGAGAATTTTTACGATTATTTTTTATCTTGCTATTAGTTATGAGTTGTACACAGGAAAGAAATGAAACCACTGATGAACCGATTATTTTCATCAATAACAAGGGACACCACCATGAGTATGGTGAATAAAAAAGACACTGCACGATAATCATACTCTTTTAAACAGAGCCACACGAACATAGGTTCAAACAGAAGATCACGAAATAGAAGTTGACTGCTATATGTTCAGACACATTGTTAACAATCTACGATTGACTAAAAGCGGATCAACCAAATTTATTAATATATGGTTTGCCCTTGTGAGGCACTTCTAGCTGACTTAACTTTTTTTTCTGGTTATATATAAAAAAAATTCGAAGAGGAGGATGACCCCCGGCCTCTGCATCTGGGAGATGCATACGGCCATTTTATTGATTATTCTCGTGGACCTTACAAATTATAACAACAATATGCCTGAATCCGCCATCTTGGCAGCATCTACCGCTACTCATATCCAAATGATGAAGGGGTGCAAGCTGGGCCACATACCCATACCTCTCACCTAAACCTAACATCTAAAGCCGGAGGCCCCGACCGAGCCACCTGCCGGGTCTGGGCTCAAACAGGTCTGACGCACTCACATATGTCGTCGCGGCCAGCTTCCATTGGTCCATCTTGAGAGCAGATTGAGGTGACAACCTTGGCAGGTCCTCCGCCATCGACGCCACCACGACGCCAAACGACGACCTCCACCTACGCGAGCCTTGGCAGATCCTCCGTCATTGACGCCACCATGACGCCAGCCGACGACCTCCACCTATGCGAGTCCATCTCCAAGCAACGGATCTAATTCCATGCTAGAAAAGGATTGCACCACCGCCGCCACCCACCACCCACAAGCACCACCCAACCCCAAGGTTCCCAAATCGGTGCCTTCAAGAAGGGAACGACGCTATGAGCGCCGCCGCCGCCCAACAGAGTTAGGGCTTCCGCCTGAGAGACCTAGGGGAAGGTTTAGTGAGGAGATCAGTCCATACCGACGCCTCCAAGGAGGGAAATGGCGCCCTCGGGCGTCACCGTCTGTGCGGCTGGTCATGGCCGGCCAGGAATTTTGCTCGAACTAGATCTCCGCCACTAGTAGCACCGCCTGTATAGAATTGGCGACCAAGAGGAAGTGCAGCCCGACCAGGCTAGCTCGCACGTCGAACAAGGGAGGAAGGGAGGCGCCAGATCACTCACACCGACCGCCGCATAAGCCGCCGCCGGCCACCAACGACCATCGGATCCTGCGGCTCGCGCGGCCGGGACACCGGATCCACAACCCGCACGGTTGTTAGCCGGTCATGCCTTGTCAATGAAGCCGCCGCTCCAGATCCGGGGTTCCCCACACAGGACTAGGGCAACCGAGGCCCCGCCGCCCCCATCTATCAGGCGGCGACGAGGGAGGGAGGAGGTGAGGGGGTGAGGAGGAGGGGCGGCTAGGGTTG